AACGAAAGTAAGTCTGCACTTTTACTTGTATGAACTTGATAGATCTTTGTGTGGCTACATGTGCAACAAAGTGGGAATCCATTTTGGTTTTGCTTCTTTTGGTTTGTTTATTCGTTTGTTTGTTTGTTTGTTTGTTTGTTTGTTTGTTGTTATTTTCTTAGGTTTGCAAACTCATTTCTATTTCTTTTTATCTTTGTTGTATAATCTTGTGAGTGCATTTGAGATTTGAGAAACATTAATTGTGTTCTAACACTTCACCTTGCACAAGGCACCAACAATGACTAACAGGACAGAGCTTTCAACAAAAGAGTGTAACAAATAAAGTAGACAGAATGAGTTAGACGGACAAAATTGTAATTAGAATTAATTTAAAATATTTCCATTTTTACAGGCTTCTAGATATTTAATGGCTTTTTTTTTCACTTTTTCCTTTCTTTTTCTTTTAAAACTAAGTTATTACTTATACGACACGGTTAAATCAGAAGCTTGACTGTCTGGGGGCATTTGGATATATCTAATATAATACATATATAATATGTATGTGTGCAAGTATAGATTTGTATCAGCAACATTTTTACTGAGTCTGTGTCTGCGGTTACGAGCGGTTTCTGCTTACCATGTAGCCGCTCCCTGAGTCACAAACCCTGCCTTCATCTACGCCCCCCTCATCCTTCCTTGTCAATCCCCACCCACCCACCCACCCACTAGCCCTCTTGCCCTCTCACCTGACCACCGGCCCCTTGTCTCTGCCACAGCAGCAAGCACCACCACCACCACCACAACAACAACAACAACAACAACAACAACCAACTCGCCATCGTGGCGGTGTGCAGGCCAAACCTAACAGCCGACGTCCCCCTGCACCAGCTAAAGACACACAACAGCAGCAGCAGCCGCAGCAGCAGCAGCAGAAGCAGCAGCGAAACAAAGACTTGGAGTTCAAGAGAAACCAGGTGAGGAATAGGGGACATTTTGGCTGTATTTGGTGACATTTTTCTGTTGTTTTGTTTTATCTCTTACCGTGAACGATTCTCAAAAATTACATTTTTACTTTACGTTTTCATTGTACGAGTAATTTTTTTCTCTTGTTGTTGTTTTCTGCTGTTGTTATTGTTATTGTTGTTGTTTTTATTGTTGTTGTTGCTGTTGTTTTTGTTGTTGCTATTGTTGTTAATGTTTTTGCTGCTCTTGTTCTTGTTCTTCATGTTCAGGTTTTTTTTTCTTGCTCTTGCTCTTCTTGTTCTTTTTGTTCTTCTTCTGCTTCTTCTTTTTTTTCTTCTTCTTCTTTTCGTTCATTCCAATTTTAAATATAATATTATAATCTATGGATGGTAGGATGTTCTCACAATGCTAAACAAACATTTCACTAATCTCTAATTTTATTTTTCTAACTCGCTGTCTCCCGCCCCTCCCCCCCCCCCCCCACCCCTTTCTTCCCCTAGTCTGCCACCAAGATCCAAGCCAACTACCGTGGCTACAAAGCCAGGCGGTCAATGAATCAACAAACCAAAGACAAGAAGAAAGAACCCCAGGAAACTGACCATTCCCAGAGCAACTATCACGGACAGCGGAGTCTGAACGCGTCACGTGACAGCCAGAGAGCCTCCAGGAGGAGTCCGAAAGAGGAGCCGCGGCGCAGTCCCCAAGTGGACGCACGCCGGAGTCCTAATGTAGCATCACGTGACAGACAGAGGCGGCAGCAGGAGGAGGAGGAGGAGGAGCAGGCCCGGGCCGCAGCCAAGATTCAGGCCGGCTACAGAGGTCACCAGACCAGGAAAAACAGGCAGGACCAGCGTGACCCCACCCCGGAGAGGAGCACCCAGCCAGATAGGTCAAAGGATGAGGGTCAAGGCCGGAACCGGCAGGAGACTTTGAATAGCATGTTCGAGGAGGATATGGCGGCGGCCAAGATACAGGCAGGTTACCGAGGTCACCAGACGAGGAAGAGGCTGAGGGAGGAAAAGGAAGCGGCCGAGAAGATACAGGCGGGATACAGAGGTCATAGTACAAGGTCTCAGCGCAGCAGGGGTCGAAACAACAATGACGATGATCTGAGACTCCGGGAAGAAGAGAGGGCCGCGTCTAAGATCCAGGCAGGGTTCAGAGGATATCAGACACGGAAGGACATGAGAGGCAGGAAGCCTGCTCCAGCGTCCTCCAGATCGCCTGCCCGGGAAGACAGCTACGATGAGCTAGCTCGGGAAAACGCCGCGGCCACAAAGATACAGTCTCAGTACAGAGGTTTCCGAGCCAGGAAGGAATACAAACAGCGCAGAGCGGTAAATAATAACTTAAGGGAGGCCCCAAATGAAATTCTAGTGGGTGGAGCTGAGAACGTCAGCCCGTCCGCTAGCCCCGCCCCTTTTGGTGAAGAAAGCGTACAGCAGCGCCCAGCTTCTTTTGGCGAGGCTGACGATAGGGTGAATGATGACGTGGTACCTGTCTCCAGTAGAGAGGCAGACCACGTTGCTAATAACGATGACGTAATTGTCGCGCCTAATAATAGCAGCGACGTCGATCCCGCTTCTAACAAAAGTGAGGGAGGCGCGTCACCAATTAATGATGACGTAAATCCTGTTTTTGACGATGAGCAAAATCCTGCTCCGGAAAGGCAACACAGTAGAATGTCCCAAGGGATCTTTGAGGATTCCTACTTTGCCACAAACCAGAAAAACTCCCCACCCAACAGTACTACTATGTCCTCAACCATCAAAGCCAATCCATCCTCAGCAAATGGTCACGTGACCACACAAAGCAATGGCGCCGAGAACACACAAAGCAATGATGTCGGCGGAAATGAGGTAGCTGCGAGGGGTGCAGCAGCAGAAGAAGAAGATAACACACTTACTTTGGTCTAACTCTGTTGTCCCCGAATGCAGCGTGAGGGTAACGATAGCGTGAGATCTTGAGTGACCTTTAACCCCGTGTCGTAACATTCTGTGACTCCCTGCATGCGCTCAGAGTATCCGTTAAAGGTTTTCTTTCCTTTTGAAAAAATAACTTATATCTTCTCGACACCCTCCACCACCCCTTCCCCTCCCTCCCCCCCCAAAAAAAATAAGTGAACAAAAAAATTTAAATGAATATAAATTTTGAAATGTAATAGTAATAAACGAAATAAATGAGTTTGAAATAACTTGAATAATAACTAGGTACAAACCAAAGCAAAATAGTCCTAGTACCTACAGCGTAATGCGATCTCGTGTAAAAACTACCTAAAAGCCAGCCTAATTTGACACCTTTCATACAGGGTAAGTACAAAAGAACCACCCAAAACAAAAACGTTATATAATAGTATATAAAAGCTTGCTTAAGTTTGATTTTTGTACAGAACTATACATATCAAGGATATCAGATTGGATTAAGTTCAGTATCCAAAAATATTTTCGGTCCATTATAAAAAAAACTCTCAAAAACTACGATGAACGGAAAATATTTTGGTGGCGACTATCGAAAATTCTGACGAAGATTTTCTTTAAAACAGTTACCAACAGGTTTATAAATGCTCTCTCCCCTACCCCTTCTCATATCACTGTCTTCCTTGAATAAAACTTTGAGCATAACACCTTTCAGATGTAACTCATAACCAATCTCTTTGCACGTGAAAGCCCAGCCCATCCTTGTACCAAACCTTCCTTCTTACAATAATGAGTCTTTCGGCTCTTCTCCAAATATCATTTAGAGATCTAATTTGAAAAGCCGGAGAAGGTAAACATTGTACTTACTATGAAAATATGGTTTAATAAGGAATATTGCATGTTACGTAAGTGTCAAGAATTTATAATGCGGGGACTCTCTCTCTCTCTCTCTCTCTCTCTCTCTCTCTCTCTCTCTCTCTCTCTCTCTCTCTCTCTCTCTCTCTCGCCGAGCCACCAGAATGTGTCACCGTTGTGTTAACACAGTCCCCCACCCCCACCCCACCCATCTATACTGATCTTCACCCGTTGAAATTTGCTGTTGTCAGAGAAAATGGCACCATGCTCGCAGAATTGTCGTCTCTGCCGTGTAGTAGTGAAAATGTTGTATCAGACCTGATGTTGCGAAATTGTCACCTTTGGTTCTGTGGTCACCAAAATGTCACTTCTGGTTCTTTGGTCACCAAATGTCACCTCTAACACTGTTGCGGTGAAGATTTTACCTTTTGTCTATTTCTGTGTGAACTTCATTCCCCTGTTAACCAACGAACAAACTAATCTCAATCGACTTTAAAAGTCAAGTCTTCTAAACTTTATCACAATAATTATCTTTTCTCTTCTTCTACAACTCCTTGCATATCCACCCCCCAC